TGTCATCCAAATACTAACAAACACTCTAAATTAATAACAACCTCATTTTTTTTTACTTAACAATTATAAAGTGGACTGATGGAAACTTCTAAATGTTTAATTTTGCTTAAACTGGCACAATAGAAAGAAATAGGCAAATGGGTTGTCTCCTTTAATAAAATAGCTTCATAATTCAAAAGGGAATTTATCAATGCAAAAGGGATATAATGATAGCAAAGACTCAAACAACCTACCAGTATATTGGAACTCCAAAATTTACAAGAAACAAGAGAAAAATATTCACATCCAATCCATAGTGGTCAGTCTATGCTAGTTTATCTTTCCAATAACTAAATAAGACTACAAAGTGGTGCTTCAGCTAACATGTAAGGAGCAATTTCAAACTAGCAGTTATATATTCACATGGTTGCGTCATGCATACTACGTTAAAACACACAAACAAATGGCCAAATGAGTTCAGCTATATTCCAACAGTCAAAATAGGTTCAAATCTTGGTTTATTGCTATAAAAATCTGCAATACAAAGGTTCAAAAGTTACATGAAGAGTAGAAATACAATACAACAGTGAAAAGCGAGAAGAAACATCAGCAAAACAACAATAAGATGAACGTTTGAACAACCCGAAAATCTTAGAGTAGAAGCTCTGAACTAGTTCTAAAAGACTTATCTTTTTGAAAGAGTTTTCACCCTAAGAAACCTTCACAAAGCTTACAATTTCAGCTTACTATTAGCTTACTATAGATGTTAGTTAAGTTGATCTTTTTTTGCTCTCAAGTGATATTTTTTTTACCGTGAGTAAGTCTCTCTATTCTAAGTGTAAGAGAGTCCCCTTTATAGGAGAAGAGCAGCCCTTTAAATAGGCAAATAATGTCAGATTTTTTGAAAAGATTTTAGTTCACCAAAAGTCTGTCTAAAAGACTGACTTTGTGTACTAAACACTGTTCAAAATTTGTCCAAAAGGTGAAAGGACAACCTCAAAATTTGTTGTGTCAGAAGCAAGGAGAAAAATAAAGTCATTTCAGCCACCCTACTAGTAAAAGGTAGGCTACTAGTACACTATTTTATGATAAAATAACCTAAACTTCAGATTTTAACTACATCAATACCATCCTATTGATTTTGAACCAAATCAAACTCAAACAACTAAATATTGACAAAACAGAAACCATAATTCAAATGGAACTAAAACTTAAACTGATTTGTGCAAACTAAATATAGAACAATCAACTGAATTCGCAAACTAATGCTCAAAATAGAACGAGCATCGTTAACAATCGGACGACAATGTTCAACAACTAAACAATCAATTAACTAAGCAAATGATTTAACTAATACCCTAAAGATTACTTTTAATCAATAATAGTCTAACAAATAACTAAACTAACTTGAAACTCTAATTAACAACAAACAACCAAAACAGAAAAATTAAAAATCAGAAACTAACCTACTAATAATAAAAAAACAAAAATCAGAAATTAATTAAAGAGATAACGATTATACCTAACAAGCGTGCTTGAAACTGTTCGAGCCGCGAGAAGACGCCGGAGATGCCAAGAGGCGGCTGCCCGACCCTGAAACACAAGTTCCCTTTTAGCAAATTCCCAAAACAAGTAAGTTTTGGTATCATAGTAGAAGGGAACATGAGTCTTTGGGTCGAGTGGGCTAAAGAAAAATGAGGCAGTGGTGACCTTGGGGTGGTCGCGGCAGCAGGGGTGGCTGGCCGGCGGTGGTGCGATTTTTGGGGGGTGAAATGGGTAGGAAAGGATAGGTATCGCGGAGCTCTATCCATCCATGTATGTGTTGTAGGGTGGTGGTGGAGGAGTTTCTTTGATTTTGGAAAAATAGGTGGCGGATAGGGTTTCCTAGATTTAAAAATCATGGAATTTGAGCGGGTTTTGAGGGATTTGGGTTGGAGATTTGGAAAGAGGGGGTTGAGGTGATTGTATGGTACAATTTTGGACAGATTGGAGGCGGGCCGTCGCCGGTGGGAGATTTTCGGCGGCGAAACAGGGTGGCGGCGCTGAGAGGAGAAAGAGAAGAGAGAGAGGAAGAAAAAAAAAAATAGGGCAAAAATGAGGGCAAATTTTGGGCTCTTTAGGCTTTAAATAGCTTAAGTGAAGATTAAATTATGACCGTTGGATCAAGTCAAGATGTGTGGCTAAGATTAAATCTCAGCCACTTAACCAGAACGACGCCGTTTTGGGGCATTCGATTGGGGTCTTGAGCTGGGCGGGTCGAATACAATTGGGCCACATATTTGGTCCATGTTTTGGGCCAATTGTGCTTTTAAAACAAACAAAATCAATCCCAATTAAACCCATTAACAAACTACTAAATATAATCTAATTCTAAAACCTATACATAATAAACTTAAAATAAAGACACAATGTAGAAGAAAAAGTAAAAATCAGGCATTTACAAACCCTAATAATTATTATTGGGGCTTGAACCTAAAAGGAATATTTCGCCCCTTTATACCTCTTTTGTACTCAAGAATAATATTCTGGAGTTACAACTTGTAGTGGCTAAATGTTAATAGCATAGGTAAAAGGTGGCTAATTACTAATATTACACAATATTTTTTCTCTTTCTTTCTTACTCTTTGTTTTTCCTCTGAGAGGTATATTATTTTGGTGGGATTTGTTTTGAGAATTTAAACAAACTGAGTTTTCAGTTTTTTTTCTTAAAGACATAAATATTTTTTTCAAAATCTTCAAAAATGGTTAAACTTTTTTATAAAGAGCAGCTGTTGTAAAGCTGAAAAACTAACATTGTTGGTCATGTACATTATTTCAAATATTTGAAAAATTATTTGCAAATTAATGTTTGATTAACAATTTGGATCGTTATTTAACTAGAGAATTTGACATTTAAGAAACTTGTTAACACAATTTTATGTTTGGAAATTCAGTTTCAAAACAAAAATTTATTTCTTATTTCATAACAACTATTTTTGTGTCTTTAAATAGTTTGATAACATGAATTATTCTAAGAACTAAAATGATATTCTAATAGTACACGAAGAGACAGAACTGACCAAACTTAATACTAACCTCCCCTATCCCCGCGCGCCCCAACAGAAAAAAAGAAAAGAAAAAAAAGAAAAGAAAAGAAGGAAGACGAAGAAGCTAAGTCATTCTAAATAGGGCAAATGTCCAAATATGTCTTTGTATTATACGAAATTGAGTATATTTATCATTTGTTAATATTTTAGCTCAAATATGCCCTTATCGTCACATAATTGGTCCATAGATGCCCTTATAGTTACACTGTTGGCTCATATATGCCCTTTTCGAAACGGAATTCACCCAAACTAATTAGTTTTTTCTTTAATTGTATTAAAGTGTATTACAAATACTATTTTCTTTTTATTAGTACTTTTTTTTCTTTACCTTTCTCTTTTCTTTGTTCTTTTTTCTTTTCTTCTCTTTTTTTTTTCCTTTTTCTTTCTCCCTTATCCGTTTCCTCCATTACTGATGTCTTCTCCATTTTCGTCACCAATTTCACTTGACAAAAGTCATGAATTTCAATTACTAAGAAAATTCTCTCATAAGGTAATCAAGTTCCAATTTCACTGGCCCTCTAAATAAACGAAATTAAATTGTTCCAAAAATTATGGTTTAAATTTTAAAATAATAAAAACATCTCAACCTTTAACAATACTCAAAAGACCAAAATATTTAAATTATTTTCAGAAAGATAATTTAATGATTAAAAGCCTAGAGTTCAAGTTGTAGAGTTATAAATTTGAGTTGTTAGTCTTTTTTCAGTTGGACATTTTTTATTTTTTTTTATTAACTATGTAGATTAGGGATGTACATGGAACGAGTTGGTTCGATTTTTATCAAAATCAAACCAAACCAATTATATCAATTTGGATTGTTCGATTTTGTTGGATTTTTGAATTTTTTATTACATAAATATTATTTCAATCTTACTTTGTTAAATTTTGTAGAACTAAATATATGTTCAGTATAAATTAAAAAATTGACAAATATATGATCTATAAAAATATTCTTATGGGAGAATTTTCTTAGTAATTAGAATTCACGAGTTTTGTCAAGTGAAATTAGTGATGAAAATGGAGAAGACATCATTAATGGAGGAAATCGGATAAGAGAGGAAAAAAAAAGAAAAAAAAAGAGAAGAAAAAAAAAAGATGAAAGAAAAGAGAAAGGTAAAGAAAAAAAAAGTACTAATAAAAAGAAAATAGTGTTTGTAATACACTTTAATACAATTAACGAAAGAGCTAATTAGTTTGGGTGGATTCCGTTTCGAAAAGGGCATATATGGGCCAACTGTGTAACTCTAAGGGCATATATGGACCAACTATGTGACGGTAAGGGCATATTTGAGCTAAAGTATTAACGGAGGATAAATGTGCTCAATTTCGTATAGTATAAGGACATATTTGGACCTTTTCCGTTCTAAATATGTCGTTTCAAATCTTAAGTCAATTTTGTTTGTTTTCTCAAGCCATTCTTCTAAGATTAAAAATTGTATAAATTATTTATGATATGGCTATTGGTAACTTAAAAGGTGGGAATTAATCATATTGATATCGCTTGGAGATAGAGCAATTGTGCTTATGCTACATATATACGTTGCAACAAAAACTTTGTCAATTGATTTTTTAACTCTTTACAAATTTGTTTTTAGTTTTATGATCCTACATCTTTTTTTTACATATGAGAATCTACTTTTACACATAAAAGATCTGTCTTTTACACATAAGAGATCTAAAAAGATCATTTTCTTAAATTCAAAATTGTAAAGGGACATGACGTACAAATAATACAAAATGACTTTGGAGCTGTTGTGCTTTAATAGAGATATGACGAGCACTGACATAGATAAATTGATATACATAAAGAAAAAAAAAATCTGAAATGATTTGTGATAAAAAATATCTTAACAAATCGTCATTATCCATCATAAAAACTAACAAAATGACAGACAAGGGAAAAATGGAATCAAATGAAGAAAAAAAACAGAGATAAACTCATCCAATCAAAGGGAATTTATTAATAATTAGCATCCAAACAATTAATCTCCAATTCCAAACACATCAAATTGACAAGTTTTCTCAAGTATGAAGGAATCATGAGATTTGAAGTCGTTTAATGTAAAACCTTATCAACAAAAGTTGTTTATTTAATAATGCCACCAATTATTATAAGCTATGTTGAAAGATCGAAAAATGACTTTAAATTGTAAGGCTCAACAACATCGACAGTTCCATTCCATAGTAATTCAGCAACTTGTTTGTATGCCACTTCTGTAAGATGACCAGAGTCAAAAAACATATAATCCTTCACTTTTTTGCACAACTTGTACTCTTTTACTTGTCTCTTGCCTCCACAACTATAAATTCCTCTGAATGGACCCGTCCCACAACAAGCACTTTTAGATGTTTTAAAACCTACACAAATACAATTATATACATGTTACAAAATCTTAGAACATAAAGAAATATATTGCAATTGTCTAACAAGTATTGATTGTTAGAGGAATCATACATGTGTAGTTTGTAACTTTGTATTAGTGTGTCTACATTGTCGGTGAAAATTTTATTTTTCTACTAGCAGTCTAGCACTTACGTCATTATATATATCATGTACAAGATAAACTCTCCCTGTTTCAATTTAGATAACATACTTCGTTTATCGAGAGTCAATTTGACTAAAATTTGAAATTAAATTGGATTAGTTCAACTCAATATTTTAGAATTAGGAAATATACGAAAAGCACTATAAGTTGTAATTTTTTTCATGTCAATATGATAAAAAGAAATATTTCAAAATGTTGGTCAAACTTCATACAGTTTGATTCTCGATAAGCGAAATGTGTCATTTAAATTAAAACGGATGGAGTAATATTAAATTATATGAATCATCTTATCTAAAAGTTTAACCTATTAAAGAGTTAATATTGTTAATAATTATTTTATGTGTACAATGCCTTCACATACATGTCTAGTTTTCCCCCCCCTAATCGCAAGCATATAAAATGTATTTTACTAGTGGAGTAAATTTTGGACTCTCGATCTACTTTGACCGACATATGCAATGCTTTTTAAAAAAAAAATTGTTTTTATAGCAAGGTATAAGACTGAAATGTTGATGAATTTAAATACCAGTTACATAGGAACTTACCATATTTTGAAGGGTTGTCAATTATTTCAATAGCAACTTTGAAGAAATCAAACAAGGAATACTTAAATCCAGGTAATTTATCCTCTAGTTGCTTTAGCATTTTAGGCAAAGCTGAATTGTGTAATTTTGCAAGGTTTGTCAGTTCTTCTAGGCAGTTGCCACTTTTATTTCCTTGTTGGAAATTAAGAGCCCTAGAACCTGGTGTACAACCCAAAGGAGCCAAACTAAGAATGGCAAATTTTCTCCCTCCTTTCTTGTATATTCCCTGTTGCATTAAATGGTTAAAAATTAAAAGAAATTTTATGCAAAAGTATATTTAGCTACTTTTTGCTAGATTTTGTAAAATTTATATGATTAAATCAAAAATAATATATAATCTAATTACCTTCAAAACAGATGTCAAATTTCCCACTACCATCTTTACATATTCTTCCTTGGAATATGTCACAGGAAATTCAAAGTAATCATTATTTCCAGCGCTAAATATGTATACAGCATTGGAGAGGAGTTGTTTGGACTTTTTTGCTCCAAACTTCTTCAAATCTTTAGCCACTTTTTTGAAGTATTTCAATTGTGTTTTAAGGTCTATAACCTGTAATTCGAACCAAAAGAAAAATGTTAGATTAGTGATACCTCTTCCTAGGTAAATGCGGAATACACAAGTAATCTAAAGGGCAGCCCAGTGCATAAAATATTTTGCATTCACGTAGGATATAAATATTATAGTAAATAGAATGCAAATTCCTTGATGTAAGAAAAGGCTTTTATTTATTTTTATTTATCTTAATGATGCGAAAGTGTTAAGTACAAAGTTTTTCAGGCACAAATTTTAGGCAGTATTGGGACAATAATTTCAGAAATTTTGACACCTCAGCTTGGTTACTAAGTAAACTTTCATTAGATTACCAAATGTATATTTTAGGTAGAATTTCTACATAAAATATGGTCGCAAATACTAATTTCTTTAAGATAATGAAGAGTGACTTTGGACATTTGACTCAAGAAATCCTTAGACCTTAGTATTGATTGCTTTTATTGGGGTGCTTAAATTGCACGTATAAACAAAAAAATGAAGTGATTGAAGAGAAATATTAAAGTGCTAACAGACACACAAGAAAAATTAAATTTATTTATGTACATTTTAATAAAATTAAAAAGGGTTACCAAGTTGTTCCATCTTAATTAACTGTTGTAGGCCTTAGAATTAAGTAGAGAGAACAACGATTTAGAACTTTGAGAGATATTCTTGTTGGGCTTCAGAAGTTACCTTGCTCATAACAGGCCCAATGACCTAACCCATCAGATGGCCCTAGTCCATTTCTACTGTTATCAATTGGGTAAAATAAAAAAATACTACTCGTCCGAAACTAATTACTTTCGTTATCTAAAGTTTGTATAAAATATTATATTTTATTTAGGAGCGACTAAAATTATATATTTCTGATCAATCAAATGGGAATAATAAATATCACTTACAAAGCCACGAAAAGTTTCTTTTAAACAGCCAGCTCCACCTGATGCGAAATTCACTCCATGGATAGATCCATCTTTGCCAATCTCAAAATACGATGGAATGAGTGGCAACTCTGCATATTCGGCTAAAAACAATACAACGAATTAACTTAGTATTCCAAAATAAAAATATATTTATATATATATATATATATATATATACATGATAAGAATTGAATCATATATACATTAGAAAGATTTTTCATATATATACACAATATAAGAAATTTAATTGAACCCCTTTGATTCCGTCAACTGGTATCTAGTACTACGTGTTCCTCAAATCAAATCTATTTTAATGTGTTTAGAGACATGAGGAAAAAGGGGAAACTGACGCTTATCCTTTTTCTTTCCTTTTTTCTTTTCTCGAAATAGGAAGGAGACGGTAAAGTTATCTCCGTGCATGTGACTAAAGGTTACGGAAACAAGCCGTGAAAACAGTCATTAATGCTTGTATTAGGATAGACTGTTTAAATCATACTTTTTGGAGTGTGACCCTTTTCCGAACTCTATATAAACATGGGATGCATTTTTTTTTTTGGNTTTGAAGAATGATTCACCATAAGGCCACCAATTAGCTTGGAATTGAGTAGTGGTATTTATATAATTGTTATTCCCAGGATCAAATAGGGAATCACCAAATACAAAGAGGGCTGATCTTTCATAGCTGCCAAAACAGTAACCAAATGGTATAAAACAGGCAGCAATGAGGAAGCCATGAAAGAAGTTGGAACTCAAAGCCATAGCAAGATCAGCAAAAACTATAAATTTTAGCACTAATTTTCTACTTGAAAAGAAGAAATTAGCTTCAGTTTCTTGAAATAATTAAGAGTGATTGAGTGTTCTCTAAAAAGAGCTTTTTCTGGCAGGAAATAATTAAGTCGTCTTTAGAAAATAGTTGACTTGACTTGGGGAATTTAAAAATGGAGCATCTTGGACTTCCCCTTCCAATGGAAAGAAAAAAAAGGATTAAAACAAAGAGATAGAATAAACTCCAATAGAAGACGAGCACGATGTAAGTATTACCAGCACACCAATTGATTATTTGATTACCATGTGCTTAGTAACAGTTTGTCCTTTAGTCAATTTAAAAATTGCAACGACTAGCAAAAAAACAAAATACTAAGACTTTGTTTACTTACTTTTTATTCAAGTATTTAATTACTTAGCATCTTTGATGTGTTTGTCCAAGCTTTTGAGAGGCCAAAAGTATTTTTTTTCCCCCAAAAAAAGTATTTTAAAAAATATTGAATTGTTTGGTCAATACAGAGAAGTACTTTTGGCCAGAGCAGAAGCAGTTTTTCTGCTTTTGGGAAGAAACAGAAAATTTTAGCTTCTTCCAAGAAGCATAAGCAAAAGTAGAAAATTAATTTATTCATGACAAAACTATCTTCACCATAAATTTATATTTTTCAAATTATCCCTTACTAGTTTAAGTTTTTTCTTTTCATTTTTGTTTCTAGTTTTTACCATTCTATTAAAATTAAAGATATTATATATATGAATCATATTGTAACTTTCCAAATTTTTTATTGACTTTTCTTATTTTTGATTTTTTCTTTGTGTAATGTCTTATAACTTTCCAAATTATCTTCTTCTTTTTTCACACTAAAGCAAATTATCTACATCCTTCTTTGGATTATCAATTCTCTTCCTACAAATAATCATTTATAATTTCTTCTATTATATGTTATTAGTTCCCGAATCTTTAAAACAATTATTAAATCTAATTTATGAAAATGACCTACAAATAGGTAATAAATTTACAATTGATTGCATAATCTATCTATATATTATTAAAAGAAGAAGAAAATGTATCCACATTAAGTCAAGTGACAGCTTCACAATAGGCCAATTGGCAATTTAGGACAAAGTTAGTAAGGTTATGTAATAATTAGTTTCTTTTTAAATTTAAATTTAAATTTTAAAAAAAATTAAATTTTACATTATGTGTTGTTAATAATTAGTTACTCATTTTGAATTAGCTTAAACATAATTAGTTACTCTTTTCCAATTAGTTTAAACATACTTAACTATTTATTTTATAATTTATTTTATATATTTAAAATTATTTCTATTTTATGCTCAATGCCATCTTTCAAGTTTGACACTCAGAATTATCTAGTTACAACTACCATGGCTATACAAAATTTTATCCGACGACATTCTTCTACCGATAAAGAATTCAACTATTATGCTAATAAAGATATTACTGCAAAGATTGATGAAGGAGATGAGCCTTCTGATATTCCTTTAGAAATGTGAGGCAAGTCTTCTACTAATATGGAGGCGTTGTGTGATAGAAGTAGAGATGAAATTGTTGAGAAATATTATCATGTGTGAGTGACTTTACTTATTATTTCATGATGGATTATATCAATATATAGTAATTTGTGAATAGACTTCTAATTTATATTGAATGCTGTATTTTAATTATTCAAATCATCATATAACAATAAGTAATTATACTAGATAATATCATATGCTTTGGTATAACTATATATGTAAAATTGATTTAAATCTGTAATATGTTTGTTTACTTTATATTTTATATTTTAATTAAATAAAATAAAATAATAATAAAAGTCTCTTACGATAAATATTTAAGTTTATTTTTCTATTTAAAAAAATTATAAGACCTTGGTACTATCCTTTTTGGTAATTTGACACTCAAAAGTACTTTTTAAAAAGATTGACCAAACACAATTTGTTTAATAAATATTGTAAAAAATACTTCATAAATGAATTAGCCAAACATAAATAATTTTTTTTTCAAAAGTACTTCTGAAAAAAAGTATTTTTCAAAATAAATATATTTTGGCAGTTGGCTAAACGGGCTCCAAGTATATACAAAATTGAGGGTACAATAAGTTCCGTATTATGAACTTTGTACTGTACGCCTTATTTAGACAGGGTTCTAAAAAAACATAAAGGAAGAAATTACTCTTTCCTCAAATAGGAGTAATATTTTTGTTAAGGTTCTAGTTAAATCTGGCTTTATCTTTTATTTTTCTCTTTGTTTTTTTATTAATAAAATATTCACCTCCCAGTGGTTTATTAAAAAAGAAAATTAGCAGGGATAAAAAATATAAAAGCATATACTGAGAAGATCCCATTAGTCGAAAAAGGGCCTAACTTAAGATTAAAACTTCTTATCAACATCATTAGTCCCATCTATCGAGTAGAAAGTTTTAAAAAAAAAGGTGCAGTGAATTGAAATATTTTTAAAATTGTATAAAGTTAAAGTCGAAATGGCCCACGACCATTAAATTTGCACTTATTTGTCATCTCCCGATATATAAACTTATAACTTTTTAATTTTAACACCACTACTTTATCTGACATGAATGTGTTCATTACCGCACTTGAAGAACACAAGATGGTAAAAGATGTATAAAACTTGTATTTTGATCTAGTAGAAGTGTTAAAATGAAAGTTAGTAAAAAGTTTAATTATCGGTTTGAAAAATTTGTGGAAGTTAGGGCCAGGCCATTTTGCCTAAAGTGGAAGTGTTAATATATGACATATATTCTCAAACAAATCTTAGCTTTATGTTCGGAAAAATATTTACTGATCTTTCCTTTTAGGCAAAAAGTCCAAATTACTTTACTGAAGCAAGATCCTATCTGATCAATATCTTGATTAGTCATTGGAAGCAGTATAACAAGTCTGGTATTCCCATACTCTTTTCTATTCCGTACTTCTGCATTAAAACTTCTATAGAAATTTAATAATGGCCAAATACATAGACAGTCTATTAAATTTATAGGTACATTTTAAATATACTTTCGGTGTTTAATAGGAGCAAGTCTCGGTTGGAGTTATAAAATAAAAATCGGTGCCAGCTTTAAAGGGATGTTGTCATGAATGATAATGGGCTTTGGCCAAATAAAAGTAGCAGGCAAGTTGGGGTTAGACAATAGTGGGCTTGGAAAGCCACTAAGCAAAAGAAAAGCTGGAAAGGATTGAACAAACCATGTTACATTTGAGACCCAGGTTGATAGGCTTAGCCGGCTAAATGCGAAATAAAGTTTGGTTAGTTAAAGAAGCATTAGGCTAAGGTATGACAAGGCTAATTTTTTTGTAAGCTAAAGTATTATACTGTTCATATAGGTACCTTAGCCTACTTTTGAGTGTTGGCAGATGCCACACTGTTGTACCCGGTTGGGAGCTAATACATGAACACCCAGCGTTCTTGGGTGTTTAAGAAAAAAAAAACTTGTCTAACTGTCGTTGAATCTAGATACACCTTTAGCCAACTTTAATTTGTGTGCCTTCAGTAAAATAATTATAATTTCTTTTTTGTTAGAAAAATTCAAATGACAAACTATTAGTACCTTTGGAAACTAGCATTAGCTACCTTTTTATAGTAATCGTACTTCGTTCGTTAGAATCTTTTGCTTTTGGTTATATTCTTCTGCTAGCTCAAAGAACTCCTTCGATCATTGATGAAAACTAAGAGTTCACCAAAATATATAGAGAACGTGTTCTCTATTAGTTCCTACAGAACACACACAGAACAATAGGTAAATGATATAGCAGTATTTTACGTGAAAAACTCTCAGCTCACGGAATTAAAAACCTTAACCTACACTTGTACGGTTTCAACTTCACTAACCGAGCAAAACTTTAGATTACAACATTTTGTAACCTAGAAATTAAAATCTTAATCCCTCACCTAGTTTGTAATAACTTTATTGCAAGTCTTTTTGTAATAACTCTATTACAAAGCTTACCACTTTGACTAACTCTAGCCAAAACACAAACACATGGTTTATGGTTTACAGAAAAATCCTACAAGATGCTTCTAACTATGCTGAGTAGGAATTACAAGTGAATAACATTAACAAAGATACAACAATACTAAGGACACACGATAAACTCAGTGCTGGGATCTGGTCCTTTGTTCTGTTGCTACCTTGTTCTTCAACCCTTGGAGTCAATGAAGGCGGTAACACACTTGAGAGAAACTTAAATGATTTAGGGTTTGCAAGTGTGTTTTTCCTTGTCTCATGTTGGTAATATATAAGTGAGGTCATTGGGATGATGTAAGCAAGTATCCGGTACATATTATGCTCCATAAAGTGACTGCTGCACTGTTGCATGTGCAGTGCAACAGTGCATCGAATTTGAAAGTTGTAAGGAGTTGACTTGTACTATGACCGGAGGAACTGATAGCCATATGTCCCCTCTGCCATTTCTTTGAATGATAATATTGAAACTTGTACCAGACATGTGACTTGTTGTTCTGAGCACTTTGAGGTTGTGTAACAGGTTCCCTATCTGGTTCTCATATGAAGTTTGTTAAATCATCAAAATATAAATGTACATAACTTATCAATTTTTCCTTTTTTGATGATGACAAACTTAGAATTAAAGTTCCCTCTTAGAACCAAATCTCCATACAATTCACCATACCGATTAGTTTTATCCCCCTTGAGAACTTGTTTCCCTTTCTGTCCCCCTTCAATTTTCTTCGCCCTTTTGGCATCATAAAAAGAATATATGCAAGTAAACACAAAAAGAAGTCCAGCAAAGTTAACTCATGACACTTGTGTGTACATAACATAGCTAAAACACAGAGCACAAGAGTATAACATGCATAGCAAAAGATTGAGATGCTCATTAATTAATTTGAGAAGAATGTCCACTCGAGCATTTGCAGACCGTTGCTCGTTTATCAGCTGCTCTTTCAGGTCCTTAACCTGTTTCCTCAGGTCTGCATTTTCAGCAGTCAAGCGAGCAACCTCTACACCCTTTTCACTGGTAGAACCAGGTTCCTCTTTGGCTTGACTGAGCTGTCGCTCAAGAATGGCATTCCTAGTCTCCATCCTCCTTATTTCCTCGTTAGCAGTAGTCTGAGTATCAATTAACTGAGAAATAGTAGAATTGCTGCCAACACCCCCCTTCTTGTCTATATACTCGCATTCCTCTAAGGTTGTCATTAAGAAGATCTGCTTTTGCGTTCCCACTGCTAATCTTCCCAAAGGGACTTTGAAGTATTCAAACACTCTAGTGAGCAAGAACCCATAAGGCAAACCATGGTTCCCTTCCTTGAAGTCTGCCACCTTTTTCATATGTTCAATCATGATACCAGGCATGTTGATGGTAGTGTATGCATCCAGTGCTTCCATGAGGAACAAGTATGCTTTTGAAGTAATGTAATGCCTCTTTGCGCTTAGGAGCAGGACCTTGTTCACCATCTCAAACATAAGCTGATACTCTTGAAGAAGGATCCCGTTCCCCTCTCTGAATAGCATGAGCTTTTAGAATGATCTTTCTAAAGTCAGGGAATAGGCCCCTTCAACAGATGAGAGCCCCTCGGTTGGCACACCCAAGATACTACCCATAACAGCTTCATCCATCATAAAATCCACTCCATTAATCTTCAGGCAGATATTGTCATCTTCCACAGTAAATAGATCAGCGTAGAAACTGCAAACCTCCTCTTCATAAACCTTGGGACTCTGAATGGAAAACAGATGAGTCCACTTTTGAAACTTGCAGATTGCAAACAACTGTCTCATGCCTAATATTTCAAGAATGTCAGCATCAAACACTCTGCCCCATAGCACCCTTTGCTTATTCAGGTTTTCTCTTCTCTCAACTTTACGCTTTTCTACTTTGGCTTTCTTGGAGGAACCAGGTTCCTCTCTGTCACTTGCCTTCTGCTTCTGAGACTTCTTCACACTTTTCTCCTTCTTTTCAGACTTACTTCCTCACCAGACTTCTTTTCTTCAACACTCTTCTCTTTATCAATCTCCACTCCTTTCACAGACGATTCTCTCTTGGGCTTTGCAAGCATAAATTTCTTGGAGGATTTACGAACCAAGGAAGCAGGTTCCTCATTCACCTCTTCATCTTCAACATTCACAATGTTTGTTGGAGGCACGTCCTCCTCGTTCACTAACTTTACCCCTTTCACCAACCTTCTTATTTTTCTCATTGTTTCTCTTCAAAGCACTCTCAAGAGCTTCTTTCTTCTGCTGCCTAGTAGTGGGTCCTTTAAGAATGAGCTCTTTCGGGACTGACCTACCACTTCTAGTAGCAATAAAACTTGCCACAGTCACATCATCATAGTCATCCTCACTGTCATCATTCTCTTCTTCAGACAAAGGTCTCATCTCAGGAATTACAAAATCTAATGGGACTGTATCAAAGTGAGGAGAATGAACAGGGTCAATATCGTCCAGGGGCTATTTTGTAGAGCATGGGGTTTCATCCCAAGTAAGAGCAGAGTGATCTTTTTGGGCAGAGGGAAAAGGTCCCTCTGTTGGCTCCCTTGTAGTATTAATTTGCACCAAGTTACCATGAGGCACCAGTTCCCCACTTCCAACTCCATTTCCTTCTCCTTTCCCCTAAGACCCAACGGTCACATCACCACACACATACTCCCCAACAAACCCTTCTTCGGTAGCAATAAGTAACATATTCTCTATAGCTTCTCTATCACTTACACCCAATAGTGTAGAATCAGTAGATGCAAGAGAGGAATTACCTGACGACAAAGCAACATTTAGACCAAACGTCAGAGCAAGAGGAGAGATAGGCACTTCTGATACTTCACCACTACCAGCAACATACTCTTGGGCTATAGAGACCTCCTCAACTTGCTGACTCAAAACCTCTAGCCCCTCTTCTCCGTCCATTATTTTGTCTTCTGCCATTTTTTTCAGCGAGGCAGAGGGAGAGGTTGTAGCGACAAACCTTTTGGGAGTTTGATTTTTTCGAATACGATGAGAACCAGAACTCGATGGGGTTGGAGAGGAGACTATGGGTGGTTGTTGGTCTGATTTAGGGTTTTCACTGGGTAAAGGTTGAGGCTCAGGCTCGTGCTGTAGTGCTTCATGAGACGAAGATGTAGTGGGAGTGACAATGGTAGCACTTGGAGACTCTGGATTCTGGGAAGACATGATGATTTTTGAGAGTAAATACACGAGAGAGAGAGAGAGGGTTTTCTGAGAGAGGAAAAGAGTTTGATGGCTTTGATGTAGACAATTATGAGAAAGACGTCTTTTGGGGTTATTTAGAGAGTATGAGGGTCCGGTTATAAATGGGTGCAACGGACTGGGTAGACGGGTCGGTTTGTAACAGGTGTGACGCTTGGGCTTAAAAAGGATGAGAGAAAAGGCGGACACATCTTAATGATGTGGCACTTTTATAGCCATTAAAAATGCGTATGAGTGTAAAAGGAACTACTAACCTGAGTTAAGGGAACCAGGTTCCCTGATTCAATTTTATAAATATGAGCCTCATCCTTCTTCCAAAATGCAGTATCATTAGCTGCTTATTTGCTCTGTTGTTGACATGCATGCTTACCCGTAAAGGTATAGAATTGAGTTAGAAATTACCAGAAAATGCTTTTTAGCAGTTTACCTTTTCATTCCTTCATAGCTAATCACTGAGGGACCTAGTGCCCAGTTCAAAATGCTTTGGTGAAGATATCTGCTCTCTGGTCCTCTATTTTGCAAAACTTCATGCAGATGAGACCGTTTTCAACATTATTCTTGAGAAAAGATGTCGCACATCAATATGGTTTGTCCTCTTATGCTGAACCGGGTTCTTTACCATGTTGAGAGCACTTGTGTTGTCGCACAATAATTGCACACAATCAGAAAACATACCAAAATTCAGTTATTGTTTGATCCACAGTAGTTGAGCACAATAGGAAACATCTACCACATATTTAGCTTATATAGTAGAAAGAGCCATAGAGTTTTAATTTTTTGTACCCCATAAAATCAAGCATGATCCCAGAAAGTGTACCATCCCAAATGTGCTATTTCTATCCACTAAATAACCAGCATAATTAGCATCGGTATACCCAATTAAGTCAAAATTGTCTCCTGAGGGATAGTACAGGACCATGTCTTATTTTCCTTTTAGATACCTCAGAATTCCCTTAGCAGCTTTCAGATGAGATTCCTTTGGACTTGATTAGAATCTAGCACATAATCCCATACCGAACACAATGTCAGGTCTGTTGGCTATGAGATACAAGAGTGAACCAATGATACCTCGATACATGGTTTCATTCACAGGGGAACCAGGTTCGTCCATGTCCAGACGAATGGAAGTTGCAATATGGGTATCAATGGTCTTTGAGCTTTCCATCACAAACCTCTTTAGAAGCTCTTTAATATATTTCTGTTGACTTATCATCGTTCCCTTAGAGGTTTGCTTAACCTGCAGACCTAGGAAGAAGTCCAGTTCCCCCATCATGCTCATCTCAAACTCACTTCCCATAAGCTTGGAAAACTCCTCACATAAGGAATCATTTGTTATACCAAAAATATGATGTCGTAAACATAAACTTGCACAATCAACAAATTCCTTCCTCTTTTCTTCAAAAAGAGAGTGTTGTCAATTTTCCCTCTTGTAAAGCCATTTTCCAGAAGGAACCTGTACAATCTTTCATTCCATGCACGAGGGGCCTACTTTTAACCATATAGTTCCTTGTAGAGCTTGAATACATGTTCAAGGTGCTCATGACATTGAAAACCAAATGGTTGTTTGACAAGGACTTCTTCCTTTAAATATTCATGTAGAAATGCACTCTTGACATCCATTTGGAACAATTTGAATTCCATATGAGATGCAAAGGCAATGAGAATTCTGATGGCTTCCATTCGTGCAACTGAACCAAAAGTCTCACCATAGTCAATACCTTCTTCTTGATTATAACCTTGAACCACTAACCTGTCCTTGTTCCTTATTGTATTTCCAAACTCATCAAGGTTGATTCTGAACCCCCACCTAGTTCCAATAACAATTCTATCTGAAGGTCGAGGAACCAGGTGCCATACGCTGTTCCTCTCAAATTGATGGAGTTTATCTTACATAACAACAATCCAGTCAATATCTTTCAATGCTTCTTTGATATTTTTGGGCTCAATTTGAGACAGAAAGGTTGAGAAGGAAAACATGCTTCTTGTATTTGATTTGGTTTGAATCCCTGAATCAATAGGAGTGATCACATTCTAGAGATGATGTGAGCTTTTGTGCTTCCAGTTAGACACTTGAATCTCATTATGAGAAGACCCAGGTTCCTCTGAGTGGGATCCATTGTTTTCATCAATGGAAGAGTGAGTGCGACTTCTCCGCTCAGTATCAAGAGTTCCTTACATGTCATCAACAACTCCATTTTCTGCTTCAGTTATTGTAATGGAGGAACCGGGTTCCTCTAAATCAGCTGGAGGTTCTTCTAAGATTCCTTGACCTGACTCATCAGATCAGCCTTCCCGTTTGCCATATCAATTACTTCTACAGGAATCTTTGACTACTCTCCATCTTGATCAATCTTATCATGTGAATCTTTCCCACTTAAGTGGTGTGATTCATCAAAGATTACATGTACGCTTTCTTCAATATATTGAGTCCTTTTGTTGTAGACCTTGTATGTTTGCTTTGTAAAGAATATCCAAGAAATATCCTTTCATCACTTTTGGCATCAAAATTTCTAGCACTTCCTTACTATTGTTGAGAATGAAACATTTGCAACTAAACATTCTCTGGTAAGTTAGCTTGGGTTTTTTCCCGTTCAGCAATTCATACGGGGTCTTGTTTAAGAGGGACATAATCATGCACATATTTATCAAATAGCAGGCAGTGTTCACTGCCTCAGCCCAAAAGTATTTTGGTACACCACTGTCAATTAGCATTGTCCTTGCCATGTCTTCAAGAGTCCTATTTTTCCTCTCCACAACACCATTCTGTTGGGGTGTTCTGGGAGCTGAATTTTTTTGACTTATACCATTTTCCGCACAAAATTCATCAAATTTTGTATTGTCGAACTCTGTACCACGATCAGATCTTATGCTTACAACATTATGTCTCATTTTTACTTGAAATTGCTTTACAAAGGCAGAAAATACTGGAAAAGATTCATCCTTACTTTTGAGGAACAAGGTCCATGTGAATCTGAAGTATTCATCCACTATGACGAAAATGTATCTCTTTCCTCCTCTACTGGCCACCCTCATAGGTCCACAGAAATCCATATGAAGAAGATCCAGTGTTCTTGAGGTGCTTATTTCCCTTTTTGGCTTAAAGGAGGACCTGACTTGCTTTCCTCTCACATATGCATCACATACCTTGTGATCCTTGAATCTAGACTTTGGCAGCCCACATACCAAGTCCTTCTTAACTAGCTTATTCCACAAGGAGAAGCTTACATGTCCTAATCTTCTGTGCCATAGTTCAG